GTGTTGATTTTTTCTTGGCTCCGGGTTTGATGAAATACTTATTGGAGGAAATAGGACATAATGTGCATAACAAAGAAGACAGTGCAGTTGTCTTGGAGGAACATTTGGAGCTATTACACATATAGTATCATCATTGGGAATGGCTACTGGTTGATAAAATGTGTTGTTCTTGGCAGAGTATGATGTAGAAGCACTCTATGTTAGCTAGTGGTAGTCAATGGCTTGCTTTGTCCTCTCTTTCCATAACTTGGCATGCAAAACTTGATGGTAACTTCTGAATTTGGATTCTTGACCTAGTGTTAGAAATGTAGATCCTTGATGGTTTTGACATTGCTGAAGGTGAGGATAGTGTACGTCACTAATCTAGGTCAGATTTATCTGAAAGCCATGAGTTAGACATTTGTGGTCTATAGGTTCTGAGTCACTTATGCTGTACTCTAGTCTGTTTAAGTTACCAAAACTGTATTGTCCAGTTATAATTGGAGAAGGTTACGCATTCTGAAGCTAAGTTCTGAAGCTGTGGTGTCCATTTACTAATTGGGTGGGCTTATGCATCTCATTGAAGCATTTTCCAGGATGCAGGTATTAAAAATCATGTCTAGATGTGCACCCACTTTAATAATGAGGTTTTTTTCTTTGGGTATCCTTCTGAAGGGAAAAGTGTACACTTTGGTACTGCCCAAAACAAGAGGTTGTCAAAAGATAATCATCTCCTGACCTTGTAATGTTAGATGCCTGTAAAAAACAATATTTTTATTTGCCAACAGAAACTAATACGTATGTTGTAGTTGATTCTAAGAATAAATGCCACTATTCTCTTTTTGAGCTGACATTTTTGAATGACCAGAAGCTTTGCGATGTTCAAAGTTTTATCCACTGTTCCTAAAAAATGGATTTTGAGATTGTAATTGGTTCTAAAACTTTCTTGATATAAATTTTAAAAGAAGCTTCTAATATTGAATTTGGCTTTCTCGATTGTACTTCTATTTGATCAACTTGTGCATATTCTCTTCTCAGTTTTGGCAATTCATACAATTTTCTGAGATTTGTTTTGGAGCATACTGCATAATACGTTTGCTGAAGTGAGTTGGAATTGCAGGTCCATCAAAAATTGTTTCCATTGAGTCTGAAGAGCAGCTTAATGATTCACTTCGCAAGGCCCAAGGTATAAATTTATAAATTTGTTTATGGCCAAGTTTTATGTACGTCAAATGTAGATTGTTTACCATCTTTAATGTCTTCTGGATTATTCTTGGTTTTTAACTATTATTCTAACCTGATGCTGATATTTTAATGTTCAAATATGCTGCAGATGAATCATTACCTGCACTATTTTACTTCACAGCAGCCTGGTGTGGACCTTGTAAGATTTATGTATTGGAAATTGTATACATATGTAGCACTCTGGCTTTGAATGCTTTATTCTCATTTGCAGCATTAATATTTATTTCACATTTTCATAGTAGTTTGATCTGTAATTTACTTTCACCATTATCTTGTACAGGTAAGTTCATATCTCCTGTTATTGGACAGCTGAGTGAGAAATATCCTCATGTCACCACGTACAAAATTGACATTGATAAGGTAATAAAGACTACATGGCAGAAAATTTTCTTTTAACAATGGAAGGGAAGTTTTGAAAAAATTTTTTGGGACCCTACAGGACACTCATATCATGTTTGATCAAAGTGTTTTCATATTTCACTTGAATCTCAAATAAGAAGATCTACTTGCCTTACCCTATTTTTTAATCTATTATGCATGGTCAAAGACTCTTTATAGATTATTGGGTGTGATTCTCCTTTCATAATCTCTTCAGATATAGATTATCATCAATAGCAACTTGAAGTGCAATTTCTATGCAACAAAATAGCTTCTTTGCAACTCTTTTCTTAGTCTTTTTGTTAATTCTCTTGTTTTACACCTAGCTTACTTCCCTTGGTTTATTATATGCAGGACGCTCTTGCTGCAGCATTAATGAAATTAGGCATCCATTCTGTGGTACTACTTCTTATCAGTAACTTCTCATTTTGCTTGTTAATGCTTTTGAAAAAGAAAAAAGAAAAAAGGAATGGATACATAGAAAGTATAGGGAAGTTTCTTACCACATTGTGAAAAAAGTTACAAAGAAAAGATGGGCAGTTAGCTGATTTTCATTGAGGTATAGTTTCTTAAATTTCAAGCCAAAATTTTATTCCCTGAAATGGTTTTGTATCGTGGATAGATACTACTCTCCATTAATTCAATAAATGTCTGGGCTATTGTAAGGTTACAAGGGAAAAAAGAACAAAATGAAAAGGAAATTTGATGGAGAGAAAAGGAGCGTAAAAAGTGAACAGTTCTAATGAGTACCATTATGCTGCAGTAGCTCCTGAGCTCGGATTTGTATACTGCTTTTTTCTTTGTTGCCTCAGGATTCCAGTGAAAATTTAATTTTCTTTAAATGGAAAAAGTTCCATATATTGGGGATGTGGAAAGCATTTATACCCATTAACATGTTAAATCCTAGTCAAGTTTTTGTTAAGAATACGTGCTTGTTAATTAAGTTCCTTCTTAAATACCCAAGGTTTGCATCAACAAAGATTTTTTTTTTTTTTCATTTGAAGAAACCAGAGATTGGATGACGAATTGAAGTCATTTTGTGGTCTTACCTAGCTCCCATCTGCATCAGAACTTACGAAAATGACTTCATGATCTTTTGGAGTAGTTTTAGTCTTGTACTCTTCTGACCTTATGCATATGATTTAGACAAGTGTAGGTCCTGTCCCGTCCTGATGTAGGTTGATGGCAGTTAATCTCCTATATGCAGAGAACTAGAGATTCCTCATCTAATGATTCTTATGACAATCTGATGGCTTTACTCGCTGGTTTTGCTGTTCAATTAGAAACTGACCATATATGATTCTAAACTGATGTAATCTTAGAATTTATGTTGGCTTGGACACAATGGCCTCGTATGTTTGATATACCATATTCATGTTGGATTTTTTCCCCTCCTCTGGCACCAAGCATAAATTCACAATCTTTTCTCTATTTGTTTGATAATAGAGTCTTAAAGTCATGAATGAACAACACACCTAATTTATGTTACAACATGTTTATCATGCAAACTATTCTGTATAGTTTAAACTATATCGACGTTTTCTTAGACACATGGACTCAAGAATCCCTAAGTGCAAGTTATTCTTGTATTTAATCCAAATGTGGGCAACAGTCTACAAGGAGTTTTGAAGTTGCTTTACATCTTAACTAGTTCATTGATTGCTATTTCGATGCCAATGGCATTTGTTGCAGCCCACCATACACTTCTTTCAGAACGGGAAAAAGGCATCCGAGATGGTCGGTGCTGATGTTAAGCAGTTGAACGCGACTATGGAAGAATTGTACAAGTGAGTGTCTGCATATATGGAAGATGTAATCTTACCACGGAATACAAAGTGGTTTTGATTAGATTTTGGTTTAGAATTTATTTTCTTCAAATTTAATACTATATGCTGGAAACGTTGAGGGTTTTTACTTTTTCGCTGAATATATCCTGTAAAGTCTGTTTGAGTTTGACATACTTTGTCGTTAATGGATGTTGATATGAAGTGATTTTCAGGTGATATATCCTTTCTTCAAATTGGTAATGTCTCCCAGTTCTTTCTCCTATGTTGTGCTATGCTATGCATAAATAACGATCTTCGTGCATATTGAAAAATTACCATATTACACAGAAGTACTGCAAATCCATCATAAAATTTTGATTTCATGAATATAAGCAGAGTTACTATTTACTTTCTCTTTGATAACAATCATATGATATTATTATTCGAAAAGCAATTGATGACACCAACAATTTATCAGAAACAACTGAAATTACAACTTTCATACATTAATCTTCTTAGATAGTGTCTCCTATTCACGCAAAAATTTGTACCAATCCATGTCACTAACGATTGATACACAACAAACTATTAGGCAAGCAGATATACAGCAGAAAAATTGTCTCCAACGTTATCCGTCCATCTGTCTGATATCTACCACAGGCACTGCATCTTTGACAACATGTCACTGATCAGAAATTCAGACATATGGAGATAAGCTTTCCGGTCATATGAATTGAGGATTGGTCTGGGGGAACGAGATTTGGCAATTTCAGTTTATGCACACAGATTCTAGCACAGGGGTTTACTTTTTTTTTTTTTTTTTTTTTTAAGTTTTAATTTTTAACTAGTTCCGTAGTCTAGTAGTTACCAGCATGTTTTGTGATCGACTTTCATGTGCTACTTTACTGTGTAGGCAAGGCTCTACGCAATTTTAAAGGATTAGTCTGGTCGAAAGACTAGGATACCCTCTCGTTACTTTGCAACCTATTCCTGATATCATTTCCAAAAAATAAAACATTAGCCTAATTGCACTTAAATATATATGATTTTATCAAGAACTATAAGTATGCCATCACAGCAACACCAGAAAATCAGAAACATACTATCTAATTAGAAGCTAAACTAAACTAATGGCAGTAGCTGAAGTTTGATCTTTACTAGTGCTTCAAGAACATCTTGAATATTGCTTCTCTCTCCTGGGGACTCCCTCGTGCAATTGAGAGCCACTTTCATGATGGATGAAATGCAGTCCAGCTTCACAAGAAAGTGATCGTCGGTTGTGCTTAGCAAATTGGCATCTATAATTGGAGCTAATGCACTTGCCATAGAATCAAGAACCCAACTCCTTAGGCTCAAATTCTCACCGAACATTTCATTGCTGGGGCTCATTCTTGTAAAAACTTCCATCATCATAATTCCAAACCTATAAGCATCGCATTTGACTGATACTAATCCTTGGAATCCATACTCTACAACCAAGGCAAGTACGCTTCACCATATATTATATATTAAAAGTAAACGAGAATTTGAAATATGAGAGATTCAAAAAATTCTGTGGGGAAAGGAAGAACAGAAATCATATGAATAAGAAACAAAGTTTCAGCATACCTGGTGCAAGATAGCAAAGTGTGGCTAGCGTTTTGGGGTATGCAATATTGCAATGCCCTCCTCTGGAGCCAACAGCTTTGTAAGACCAAAATCACTTACATGGGCAACCATATCTTCATCAAGCAGGACATTACTAGGCTTCAAATCGCAATGCACTGCTGGTGTCGAATACTCGTAATGGAGATACTGCAGTGCAGAAGCAACATCCACCAAGATGTCCAATCTCTGTGTAATATCTAGAAAACGGTCACTGGAATACAACCACTTCTCAAGACTTCCATTAGGCAAAAATTCCAGAACCAATGCTTTGAAGTTAGGGTTAGAGCAGAAGCTAATGACTTTAGTGAGGTTTCTATGGCGAAGATTTCGCAATACTTCACATTCTGCATCAAAACTCTTCAATGCTCCTTCTAATTGTAAGTCAAACACTTTAACAGCCACAACCCTCCCATCATCGAGAGTACCTTTATAAACAGATCCAAAGCCTCCTTTTCCCAGAAAATTTTTTTCATGATATCCATCAGTTGCTTGTAAAAGTTTGTGATATGAGATTCTTTCTTGTGTTGCAACCAACGACAAATATGCTTCAATGGGACTTCTATCTTTCCTTTGATATCTTAGGTAAATGAATCCCAAGGACATGGCGCCTAAAACTAGTATCACCCCTGCTAGAACAAGAATTATTAGATACTTCTTTTTGTTTCTCAAACTTTGAGGTGAAAATCTTACGCATGGTGGGACAAGGAACCTTTGAGCTCCACAAAGTGCTGCATTCGAAGTGAAGAATTCACTAGTGAAGTTTCTAAAAGGGCTGCTTGAAGGAATTTCACCACTTAAATTGTTAAAGGAAACATTAAAGTATGTGAGATACTTAAGGGTCTCAAGTGACTTTGGAATGGAGCCGGAGAGAAAGTTACGTGATAGATCCAACATTGCCAAACTTAACATACTACCAATTGACTCTGGAATGGAACCTTGCAGTTGGTGTGGGCTAAGGAAAGTTGATGCAGGTTCTGCATATCTCCAATTGTGGTAGGAATGCCACCTGAGAAGTGATTTATTGACATGTCTATGGCTGTTGCAATTTTCAAGTTTGCAACGTCAAGAGGTAGAGGGCCAGTTAATGAATCGGAGGAGAGGTCGAGCACTAAAAGATCTTTAAGGTTCCACAAGGTTTTAGGTGCAAAGTTGAATTTATTGGAAGCTAGGTAAAGATATCTCAGCGAAGTAACATTTCCTATGCACTCTGGAATTGATCCCACAATTTGATTGAAGCTGAGAGATATAACACCCAAATTGTTGAAATAGCAGAAATATTCTAGGCTGACTTGGCTTAGTTTGTTGATGTGAAGCATTATTGCTTGAAGCTTTAGCAAACCTGTTACCGTAATGGGCAATGATCCAGTCAACTGATTATTGTATAGACTTAAGATAATCAAATTGCTCAAATTCCCAATTCTATCAGGAATGCAGTCCCTGAGTCCACAACCGTAGGCATACATTGTTTGTAGTGAGGTAGAAAGGTTCCCAACAGAATCTGGAAGAATACCATTTAGTGGATTGTTACTCACACTTAATTTTCTCAAGTTCTTGGAGTTTGCTAAGGAAGAGATGAAGCTCAACTCTGGGTAGGAAGAGTCACAGACTAAATTGTTGCTAGTTAAGTCCAGCACTTGAAGGAGCCTTAGATTACCAATGGAAATGGGAATCGGCCCGTAGGAAGAGTCACAGACTAAATTGTTGCTAGTTAAGTCCAGCACTTGAAGGAGCCTTAGATTACCAATGGAAATGGGAATCGGCCCTGTGAATTTATTGTCAGACAATATTATGAAATAAAGTCTAGAAGAATTTGAGATGGACTCGGGAATATCTCCAACAAAGTTATTATCGTTCAAATAAAGTTCTTCTAAATTGGGAAGCCCATAAAACACTGTTGAAGGAAGAATGCCTGAAAGTTTATTTCCTGCAAGCGACATCAATTTTAGCCTGGAGAGGTTGAAGATCTCCACTGGTATGGAACCACTCATGGTATTCCACCCCAAGTTGAGTTTTTCCAGATTGTGTAAGTTGCTGATCTCTCTTGGTATTTCGCCTGGCAGAAATGTATGAGCTTATATGTAAATGAACTATTATCCTCATAGTAGATCTAAAGATCATCAAAATAAGTAACTGGTGTGACTATGAATTGTCTCATGTACCTGTTATGTTGTTATCAGATAAGTCTAAGAACTTGAGCATGGTCAAATTTGCAAGCTCTTTTGGAATTTCACCTACAAAATGCAAAACTTATGGAACATGAAGTCCACATCTTTTGATAAAACTTGGGAAAGGAACATAACAGTTACTAAAAGACAGAAAATAAAAATAAACAAGAGCGTGCAATGGGTATACTGCTAAAATTTAGTAATCAGAGCAATGTGTGAAAGCTATAGTTACTATATAGAAAAAACATGTTAGCAATCTAACTCCTACAAACTCAGGAGTAATAAACACTACTCCTTTGACTCAAGAATCAAGATCTTACCTGTTAAACTGTTCATGGCGAAATATATCACCTCAAGCTTCTTCAGGTTCCCTATTTCTTTTGGTGTATTTCCAGTGAATTTGTTGAAGGAAAAAGACAGAGCCTGAAGTTCTGAACATTGAGCTAAACTTGATGGTATTTGACCACTGAATTTATTCATTGATAGGCCAATGAATCTCAGTCTCGGAAGATGAAAACACATGTAATCCGGAAGACTTCCAGACAAGCTGTTAACTCCCAAGGAAATCATTTCCAGTGAGGAAATGTTGAAGATCTCTTCCGGGATTTTGCCTTCAAGAGAGTTGTTAACAAGGATTAAAATTGCTAGCCTTGACATGTTGGAGATGGAAGGCGGCATAAGACCGGTGAAGCTGTTGTTTCTGAGAGGGAGAAATTCCAGTCCTTGAAATGATCCAAACCAGTTAGGAAGCAATCCATTGAGGTTGTTGACGCCCAAATTCAGTACTTTTAATCGATTCAATTGAGCAAGTTCTGGTGGCAGTTCTCCATGGAAATTGTTCCTACGCATGTCAAGAGAAACGAGAAATGACAGGTTTCCCAACTGGGGAGGTAAGGTTCCACTAAGACCCATGTTTGAAATGTTCAAAGCAATCACTCTACGATGGCCCGAGCTGCAGGTAACCCCAATCCAGTCACAAACAGGCGAGGCAACAGACCAGTTTTTTGCCAAGATTTCTTGAGGGTCAAATGAAATTTGAGCTCTCAACGCAAGAAGAGATGATTGATCAGTGTCGATGTTGGTTGAGGTCAAGGCTAAGCAACCTGGAAGAAAACACAAAGAAGAGAAGTAGAATTGTTCCCATGGTTGTGTGCAAGTTGCGAGCGGGAAGGACGGTATAATTCAATGGCCAAAGTAAAAGGGATTTCTACCAAATTTTTTATTTCATTGAAGTTCCCTTGGAGCATATTACTCTATAGAGATGACGAGTGATGTAATTAGCTATGTTGTATAAATATTGATCGTCGAATGTTGAGTACTACAATAAAGTAATTTGCTATCTGATACTTGTTCACATAATTCACTGTAGCAAGAAATGATATTTTGACTTTATCAAATCTCTTGGTTCTTTATTTGTGCACTGGGCCATATTCTACAACAATTGAAACTTGTAAGTTCTGAGTTGAGCATTCTTGACATTACCTGTTTATTTTTATTTTTATTTTTTATTTTTAATCATAAGGGAAATATCAGTACTCAGTAGTCACTTTCTCATTGCTGCCCTGCCCTGCACAGGCTCTACTTAGGCAGGCAGATACATTGTGGATCCGGGGCGGGAACGGTTGTCAGAGCAACCGTTCCGGAAAGTGTAACACCATTTGCACATGGTATAATATCAGTTCTGTACAAGGTGTAACAATAAAACAACAGCGAGTAACACTAGAACAATATTTTTGTGGGTCCCACATGGCGTGAAAATCGAGTTACAAGGAGTGATCTGAGCCGCACAAATTTTTTTGGCCTAATCATGGCCGTGAACCTTCCGGAACGACCGTTCCAGCCCCTCCTCCATGCACTGTCGTCCTAAATAATTACACTTTATCCCCTGTGATTTAGTATTTTTTTCACATAACTCCCATATAATTTCAAAATCTATACATAATTCTCTTATGATTTGGATTAAAGTATTAAAGTAACGGAAATGATCATTCGTAACGGAGTCATTTAAAATGTCAAAAATAATCTTATGTAAAGTTGAAAATTATTTATTAACCATAGGGAGTTAAGTGTATATTTTGAAAATTATAAAAGAATTATATGGTAAAGTATTAAACCATAAGGAGGTTACATTGTAAAACATAAAATCATACAGGGGTAGTGGGTCATGTATTTGTAAGGGTAATTTTGATATTTTTAAAGATTCCATTACAAATGATCATTTCCATCACTTTGACACTTTAATCCAAACCATGAGGGGTTATGTATAACTTTTGAAACGATAAGGGATTATATAAAAAAATAAACCATAGGGAGTAAAGTGTAATTTTCCCTAAAAACAATAATGTTTGTAATTATATACTACTTAAGTGATTGACAAAATCAAGAAAAGAATCCATGACTACATGATTTTGCATTTATTGACAGCTACATGTGGTAATCATGCAACTTCTGGTCATTTTTCAGACGTCAAAAAATTATTGTCATTTTTAGATAGTTCTCATTTTGAAGCTGTTCTTAAGAAACAGAAGAAGATGCATTTACGAGAGACAACATATTACAGGAGTATTAGTATCTTTTCTGCAGCTGCAAACTCACAAGCAAGACATTAATTAGCTTTACAAGTAATTGTGGAGGGATTTCTCCTTAGAAATTTTAGTTCTTGCATTATTTAGATTCTGTAATTCTCTGCTCCAAAAGAAAAGAAAAGAAAAAAATTATTCTGTTGTTCTTTGCCGCAGCAGAAAAAATATGAGTATGACTTAAGCTTTTTTTTTTTTTCTAACCATTTTAGTAAAAGCATGGGAAAGTATGTCTAAATAATCATTTCTTGCTTAACAAGATTGAACTTTCATAGTTTATAATAGCTACTAATAAACAAATTAAAAGCGTATAATATATAGGAAGTATTTATTTAAACTGCTTCAGAGCACTGAACTTTCCCATTCTATTTATGTGTAAGGTTCACAAGCTCCAAAGCAGCACAAAGTAGATGTCATTAAGTTTTTATGTGTTTATTTTTCTACATACAATCTAAATTACAAGAGGAAACAGGAAGGCCTAAATTAGTAAATAGGAATCTTGCAAGTAAAAGAATTTTAACTTGTAAAAATGATAAAAAAAAGTATATAGCTAATAAAGTCATTAATTCTCTAGTTTAGGAGAAGGTAAGGACCGAATATCAAATTTGGTGGGGTAAAAACTTATTAAAAAAGTTCTTAGAGTAAAAATTCATAATATATAAAACTTTGGAAAGTCTTAGGAGGGCACCCAAAAAAAAAAAAAAAAAAAAAACAAATTGTGTGACAGTGCTTTGGCATATGAGTGTAACACTTCTCAACTAAGCAGAAAAAAATGATAATACTAATGCTTTTTTTGTTGGGTTAAATACCAAAAACCCCCCTGTGATTTGCCTAATGTTCACTTTACCTCCCTATGGTTTGAAAACCTACAATTTGACTCCCTGTCGTTTCAACTAAAGTAAAAGTCTAACGGAAAACATCTAAACTAACGTCTGAAAGGAAAATATCAAAATTGTCACTCTATAAGGGTTTTGGGTTAAGTACCAAACACCCCCCTGTGGTTTGTCAAATGTACACTTTACCTCCCTATGGTTTGAAAATATACAATTTAACTCCCTGTCGTTTCACCTAAAGTGAAAATCTAACAGAAATTCCGTTAAATACACTTTAGTTGAAACGACAGGGAGTCAAATTATAGGTTTCCAAACCATAGGGAGGTAAAGTGAACATTAGGCAAACCACAGGGGGGTTTTTGATATTTAACCCTTTTTTGTTTTACATGAGATCTTTACATTTGTTTTCTTCTTCTTTTATGTATTTATTTCTATATTTTTCCAAAGCTGGAGAACATTTTTAATTGGTGGTGATAAATAACGATGATTATTGCATTAAATCTATTTCCTTTGAATGAGATATTAGAATGACTAACCAAATAACACTTTTCAAGATTTTGGTTGAAGATCTAATGAGCTATTTTTTTTTTTTGCTCCTAAATTGCAACTTCGCCTTTGCGTATCAAAACTTTTTTTGCATACAATATCCCATTACACTAATGTCTGTCTGTTAATGAGTTGGGATGTATAGAGTGAATTGCAAGTATCATCAACTACTTAGTCGCAATTGGCAAGATAAAAACATATCTCAGCTCTTACTGAACCGGAGATTCAATACCAACATCGCACTTTTCTTTTTTTTTTTTTTTTAAAAAAAAAATTTCTAAGTAAAACAATACCTCAATTAGGGAATTTTAAAAGCAAAAATTGTTTTTCAATAGTATTAAAAATCTGCTAATATTTTCTTAACAACATCTATATCGATCTTCTTTTTCATTCTCTTTCCCATTTTTTAGTGTGTTAGAAGTATTAAAGTTTGAGTAAATCTTATATACACTGACTGACTGTATATACATTATTATCGTTGGATCTATGACATATCTATAAAAGTTGAATTTTACATATTTGTCATTCATCCAACGCTTGCAGGAAAGATTAATCGTTAAAGTTTGACAAATCATCTATTTCACTTGCATACAGTGGATTAAACTTAATTGTGAAAGTCATGTGGACAAACTTTTGACTTGGAGCATCGGTGGAGTTGTAATTTCACACGTCATACAAACTTAATTGCAGAAGATGTTAGAATTATGAAAAACTATAATTTTTCACTATGATTTTCATCTAATTGAAGAAAATATTTTTGATGCGTTCGAAGTATTAAAGTTTCACAAGTCATCTGTTTCACTTGCACACAATGGATTAAACAAAATTGCGAACGTCATGTGGACAAACTTTTGACTTCGAGTGTCGGTGGTGTTGTAATTTCACACGTCATACAAATTTAATTGCATAAGACGTTATTTTTCACTATGATTTTCATCTAATTGAAGAAAATAAACAATTAAAATTTTCCATTACTTATCTTACAACAGTACTCATACTAATCTCTCTTACCTTAAAAATTTTGCCCCAAATCATTCCTGAGGCAAATAATGCCTTATTTAACTTCAAGTAAAGTATTAGTGGTATAGTAACTTCTAATGAAATTATTAAGTGTCATTGATTTAATTTAAGAAACTTGAATGTGATAGATCACACCAAATTACTATCCGAATCAAAAAAAAAAACAAAAAAAGGAAAGGACTACTACAATTAGTTAGTTGAAAAGTGATCAATAGCGTCACTGTAGCCGTCAAATACTTGCCGTCTAGTACATTCACCCCTCAACTGCGAGTTTGCATTCACTCGTAAATCTTCCATAATTTCTCCTCTCCTTTTTCTCTTCTGCTCTTAATCTATTGTACGGACTCAAAATCACTCCCCTCAAAAATTTTCTAGTACTAAGCCACTTGTGTCCCCGTAAATTCTTATCTCATTTCATTCCTTTTTTTTTTTTACCCCTGCCTGCAGCTATTCTTTCTGTAATGGCAATGAAGCGCAACCGAGTTGACACCACAGAAGAGTTGACAGCATCGTTTGCAACCAAGCAACAGCAACAGAAACAGCCAACAGAGGATCAAACTAGGGTAATGAGATTTTTTTTTTCTCTTCGGCCTATTTGTCAAATAAGTTTTTCCAAGTTTGTCTCATATCAATTTTTTAACAACTTTAACTATAGTAATTTCAAAAATTTTTAACCTACACACTTTTAAATACCCGAAACACAAAAAAAATTTTTCCTTTCCTCCTTTCTTTTACCACCCAACCCACCACCACCTACTATGCCGGTCAAGACGACCATCACCGGTTCCGGCACCAGCAACCTCTTCCGGAGCCGGCCATCTCTCTTTTTTTCTTTTCTTTTTCTTCTCCCTCTCCCCCGCCACCTCTCTCCCCACTCTCCCTCTGCTGCCACCCTCCCCCACCCCCTCTGCCCGATTTGGTCTCGCAGACGCGAGACAGGGGGAGGGGGAAGAGGAGGAGAGGGGAGAGGGAGAGGGAGAAGAAGGGGAGAGAAAAAGCAAAAGAAGAAAAAGAGGGAGAGGTCGCAGGAGAGGGAAAGGGAGAGGGGGAGGGGCAAGGGAGAAGAAGAAGAGAGGAAAGAAAAGAAAAAAGAAAGAGAGAGAAAAAGAAAAGAAAAAAAGTTTTCCATTTAAAAATTTTTTTCTATAATTTCTACAGTAAATTACAGTAAAATTTTAGACAAACACCTAAAAAACTCATTTGCCAAACATAGTAGAATCAATCATTTATCTTTCTATTGTTTCTTTTTTTTTTTGTTAAATTATTATGTTTAGGTGAAAGCCAAGGAGAGTGATCCACCAAAACTTGGTCATTTTTTGGACAATTGCCACTATTGCAAGAAGCATATGCCAGTGGGTGTTAAAGTCCACATGTATAGGTAATCTTGACTACCATTACCAGAACTTTCTTGTTAATCATCTTGAACATCTAATAACTTTCATGTTAATTGGCATAACATTTGTTATTGAATTTCAGAATGCACGTTTTACTCATGACTGGTTATAGTAATAATGTGTCAAGTCTGCTGTTTGATGTTCAACATATAATTTCTTTTTTCTGCAGTAATATGTGATTTCACTTTTATAGAGCAGTTTCGTTGGCTGATAACCTTAATTTCATATTTTCTTAATTGCATTAATAGATTTGTTATTCTTGTTTCAGAGTTGATTTCTAGTAAAATATGATATCTTCTCTCTTAGTTGTATCTCTCTCTCCATCCAATTAAAATTATTTCAACCCTTCACTACTGATCTATTATTTTCAGGGCTTTTGTTTGATTTATGTTTGCTACGACATTGACCAATCTTTTATAATATATTCTTAGGATGTTTAAAAAACAAATGAGTGAAGCATTTATGAGAAAAAGGCTCAAAAACTTGAAATTGTTTCTTTCTTTTCCTATTGTCTTCTTTGGGAAGAGGTATGGGATAGGAGAGGCGGAAGTTTTTATTTTTGCCAACCTATACTACATTCACAATTTAGACTATTAATAATGTAATAATAAATTTGAGGTTGTTTATATAAGGATAATTTGTACTTTTGTTATCTTGAATATAATGTTGATAATGTGGTGCAGAGACTTCTGCGGGTTCTGCTCTGTTGGATGCCGTGAGATACAAATGGCACTTGATAACCTGGCAGAAAAACAAGCAAAGCTGGCGCAAAAACAATTACCCAGCTGCAGCGATAAAGTGGATCACTGAAACTAAAAGTTGATATAAAAAGTCAGTGCAGAACAAATGATGTTGAATCTACTTTGAGATCTTAAGGATAGCAGTTTCCTTGCTGAGTGTAGAAGTGCAAAATTGTTAAGTTTTCTAACGATCTTGAGCTAATGTGCGATGTGTATCATTTAGTATAACTTTCTGTGACCAGATTGATTGGATGTTGGCAGTTTGTACATAATTGCTTTACTTTTGAATGTGCAAAGTAACTTGCCTTGAAAAGATTTAACTAGTATAACCAGTCTTTTGGTTGGAGGAACGGGGTTCTCAATGGGAATGCTCATTAATGATAGTCATTATCGGTGTTTCATACACTACTATGAAAATCAATCTATGATAATGGAAGATCTAAAAGTGTTTATTCCCCATTCTTGATCAAATTGGAGACTTTTGCTCCACTATCATCAAAAAAAAAAATCCAAAATATATATATATATTTTTCTTTCTCTCTTGTCTCTCCATTCTCCCATCTCTCTTCTCTCTCACCTCTCATCAGTTGTCTCTCTCTTGTTCCTCCATCTTTCTTGCAAAACTTTCAAACCTAATCTCATAGTCCAAAGCTCCTCTTGTCAAATTCTCCGGAAGACTAGTTTACTCCATATATTCAAAATTCAATAGCCAGGAACATGTTGAGCAAAAAATTGCTTTGAAAACTGAAACTTTCAATTTCTCTGCGTTTTCTTTAACTGTTTATGGACTTCCAAGTACACGACTGCAGTGGTAAGCCTATAGTTTTCAGAATTATCTAAGCTTGTCAATAATTTGTTTCTTTTGGGTTTAGGGTTCTGTGTTTTTCTTTGGCTTTTTGTTGTTTTGAATATAATTCTATTGTACTTTATTTTGGCTTGGATTTTTTATTGGAGGTTGGGTTTTCTAATATGTGTTGAAATTAAATTGGGATTTTGTGTTGGGTTGTTCATAGATTATTTGCAGATGGGATGCTGAGACATTGAGAAAGAAAAAAAGAAAAGAAATATTAGTGGGAAAAAAGAAGAAAAATCAAAATAAATTCTCATTGAAGAGACAAATCAAACAAGTGAAAAGGAATACCAAAAACCCATTGTCATTGAGGGGCTTTTGATAGTGATTATCATTATCATTCCCGAAAGAACCAAATAGGTGGTAAAAATATTAGTGCATCAACCCATAATCTGGAACTCAAGTTTTTTGCTAAGTTTGTCTGCTACAATTTTTTAAAAACTTTAACTACAGTAACCTCAAAAAATTTCTTAAAGTTTTTAAACTACACACTTCAAAATATTCAAAAATCTATACATTTCAAGAATTTTTTAAAAAACTTCTACAGTAAGTTACAGTAAAATTTTAGACAAACTTCCAAAAAACTCACCTTCCAAACGGGCCATAAATTTGCTAGAAACTTTTTTTTTCTATAAAGCCTATATTCAAATGCCATCCATGCATATTTTGGTAATTTGGAATTATTTATTTTATTTCAGTAAGATATTTGGCAATATCCAGAGTTTTAGATAGGGTTCTCGAGTGTAGATTAGTGAAGTATGGTGTGATGTATAATCATAGAAGTGGTTGATATCCTAATAATGTGTTTCCAAGGTTATATATCTTAATTAATCTTTAATTAATAAGATTACGAACCATTTGCCATACAAGAAATTATCTAATATTCTAATACTATTTTTTATGATACATGAATGGGATCCAATTCTACATAAAATCCATCTTTGATGGATTTAATTTTATAGCAGCATAAGTTATAAGTTATTAATTTCTTTTTCTAATTAGTTATAAATTATTACACTATTTGTAAGTAGTTTAGTATAGCATGCATTGGTTGGTATATAATAAATATAGTATATTATTAACAAATAAATATCATTAAATGAAATACCAAAACAAAATTTAAGGTAAAAATTTTATATTTGTAAATAAAATTTTTGTGATTTTCAGGAGAAAAATGTCAAATGTATGAAAATAATGGCTCTTGAATTTCATATTCTAAAATTTGGGGGGTCAAGTACATAATAGGAAAATAATTTCTTAAGGTTAAATTAGTACTGAGATGATGATAAATTTCCACAATAAAGATAACCCAAATTACAAATAAATAGGCATTTCCATACTCTGGTTTGTGTTTTTTCTTCTTTTATTTTTTTAGTTATGTAAATTCTACATGAGGTAATCTTTTACAAATTAATTTGTCACTAGAATTAAATATATTGACTAAGCCAAAATAAAATGAAAATATTCATAACAATATATTACAACACAATATGCTTAAATAGAATTTTCTAAAAGAGATATTTTATCATTTTTTTTGTTAATAAACTAGTAAGCAATTGTATCCACACCACTAAATTGGAGAAATTTGACTACCTTATAAATTGGATCAAACTAAATGTACTTGGGGAAAAATGAAATTGGCCACAAGATCAATTAAAACCAAATTCAGAAATTTATCTTAACAGACACTTCTAAAGGTTAAGAGACCAAATTGGATCATTGATAATTCTAAGGGTGTTGGAGTCATTACCCTTCTTTTGAAGTAATAGATAAATTCCTTTCTGGTCCATTATTCTCTTTCATACTTTGGTTAATGCTGAGTGATTTTCAGTACTAGCAAACGGCACCCATAAATAAGGATATACCACGACATTTCCTAAAAGCTATTTATTTGCAAAACTGAAAATTACAATTACAAAAAGGAAAAAAAACTTTAAAATGTTCAGAATTTCTGATGACTTTTAAGCTTATTTCTTTATTTTTGTCGCTTCAAGGAAATCCCTTAAATTTTCTCTATCTAGAAAGTGAAATAATTGATGTCAAATTTCAGTTTCTATTTTTGGCAGGACATTCATTTCAGCCATAAAATTAGCTGCATCAATTATCGAGTTATAGCCTCGTAAGTGATAATTTCTTTGCATTATTTTTTGTGTTCTTCTTTAACGAAAATAATGCACCCTGCGAACTCCAAAACTCCAATTGGAAGTTGATAAGTAACACGAATGACGAAAATGTGGGAAAACAAGTAGCTAAAGTCTAATGATATAATTTTCACATTCCAAGGATTACTAATTACCATTTTCCATTTCTAAAGTCAGACGTAGCATCTTTCACAACTGTTAAGGCGCTTTTCTCCCGTGTTTTTGCTACTTCTTTCCTAATATTAATGGACATTTTCCAAAACTCTTGCTTGCTGTAAGAGTCATATGTACATGGATCGAGGTTATACCAGGACACACAAGTCCAATCCAATATAAGGGTACGTACAAATTCAAGGATTTCTGCTCAAAGTACAGGGCACATTTGTGAATTACTTCTCCTTTCCTCAATTATAGCTTCAAAATTTTGAAGAGAATCATAAATTGCCTTCCATTTTCCAGAATTTTTTGTTCATTTAATCATAGTGTTCAGTTACAAAGATATGATGTTTTGACAAAACCTTAAAACTGATGCTGCTGTTTTCCTTTTTCTTGTGTTATTAGGGACGTGTTTAAGATTTACTACTGATTTTTTTGTGTGGTTTTATTGGACCTCATTAAACTAGTAATTTAGTCCACACATAAAACTATGATAAGTAAGCATGTTTTTATAGGGTAAATTTTATATATACTGACGATGTATATATTATCACTGTTAAGCCGTGTCAAGCCCCATAGGGGGGTAGCTCTCCCAACGTCATTTTTTTCATTTCCATGGATTTCGAACCCGATACCTCATGATTAAGGGAAGCAAACCCTTTCACTTGCACCAACATCCGTTGGTTCACATCCTTCGAGGTAAGTTGCTTAATGTGCCCTCTATGTTTAAAAAATGCATTTTATTAGATTTGTTGTTTCAAAAGCTTTTTGAAAATCCATCATTAATAGGTGTACTTTGTGTTTCTTAGCTATATGAAGATAATGTTGGTCGTATATGAAAGTTTCTGAAGTGCAATTGCAATTGTACACTTATGTAAGCTCTTGATTCCCAACTTATTATGATATGATCTCTATGCCTAGCGGGGGATTAGTTAGGAACGTTTGGCCTTTACTTGATGAACAGTCACAATTAGATATTCAGGTTGTGAATAAAAAGTTAAGAAAGACTAAAACTTATGAATGATATGAACGTTTGATAAATCTAACTATGGCTTTTTTTTTTTTTATCAATCTAAATGAGACTTTGATGCATGGTTTGATTTGTTGACCACATATTTTGAATTCTGACTATGGCTTGATACAAGTCTAATATTTCATGAAATGCATTATCTATACTAACATGTCCAAACTGATAGAGGAGCAGATGAACTACTTATTGAACAAAATGTTGTTTATACCTCGTTGTCAGTAATTTAATAAGTCTTAAAATTTTCTTGAAAGACTTTGGTGTCAAGATAGGAAGAACATGCTGCATTTATGATGGCCAGCCCTTAAAGTTGGTACAATTTGATCCTAGTTGCAGCAAACCATATATGATTTTACTCCCAAAGCCATAAATATCAAAAAAAAATCAGTAGCGTACAATCTAAACTGAAGCTTAAATATTACACATATTGCACAAGCTGAATTTTGATCTTTTTCAGTGCCACAAGAGCATCTAGAATATTGTTTCTCTCGGCCGGAGACTTCTTCGTGCAATTTAGAGCCAATTTCATGATGGAAGAAATGCACTCCAGCTTCTCAAGATAGTGACGATCAGTTGTGCTTACCAAATTGGCATCTACAATACGAGCTAATGTATTAGCCATAGAATCCACAACCCAACTCCTGAGGCTCAAAGTCTCACCAAACATCTCATTGTTGGGGTTCATTCTTGTAAACACTTCCATCATCATGATTCCAAAACTATAAACATCGCATTTGGGGGATACTATTCCTTCGGATCCATACTCTACAAGAATGGCAAGTACTTTTCACCATATGTTATTTAAAGTAAATGAGCTTTTGAAATTCTGGAATTTCAAAAAATTGTGTTGGGGGGGGGGGGGGAACCAGAACAGAAATCATACCTGGTGCAAGATAGCAAAATGTGGCTAGTGTTTTGGTGTATACAATGCTTTCCTCTGGAGCCAACAGCTTTGTAAGGCCGAAATCGCTTACATGGGCAACCATATCTTCATCTAGCAGGACATTACTAGGCTTCAAATCACAGTGCACTACTGGTGTTGCACACTCGTAGTGGAGATTCTGCAGTGCAGAAGCAACATCCACCAAGATGTCCAATCTCTTGATAATATCTAGAGATGAGTCACTGGAATACAACCACTTCTCAAGATTTCCATTAGGCATGAATTCAAGAACCAATGCTTTGAAGTCAGGGTTAGAGCAGCTGCTAATGACTTTTGTGAGGTTTCGATGGCGAAGATTACGCAATGCTTCACATTCTGCTCCAAAACTCATCAATGCTCCTTCTGATTGTAAATCAAACACCTTAACAGCCACAACCCTCCCATCATCAAGGGTACCTTTGTAAACAGATCCAAAGCTTCCTTTTCCCAAAAAGTTCCTTTCATCGTAATTATCAGTTGCCTGTGAAAGGTTGTAGAAGGAAATTCTTTCTTGGGTAAACATATCTGCTTCTATGGGACTTTTACCTTTCCTTCGATATTAGGTAAACAAATCCCAGGGACATGGCACCTAAAACTGCTATCACCCCTGCTGTAGTAAAAATGATTACAAACTTCTTTTTGTTTCCCGATGTTTTAGCTGAAAAACTTACACATGGTGGACGTGTAACCTTGGAGCTCCACAAAGTGCTTTATTTGAAATAAAGGATTCACTAGTGAAGTTTGCAAAAGGGCCATTCGGAGGAATTTCGCCACTTAAATTGTTAAAAGAGACATTGAAGCTTGTAAGATACTTAAGATTCTCAAGTGATTTTGGAATGGAACCAGAGAAAAAGTTATGTGATAGATCCACAGTTTCCAAACTTAAGATACTACCAATTGACTTCGGTATTGAACCTTCCAGTTGGTTGTGTGCCAAAGAAAGATGATCCAGGCTCTGCATATCTCCTATTGTGCTTGGTACGCCACCTGATAAGTTATTCAGTGATAAAATCAAGCTTGTTGCAGCCTTCAAGTTCTGCATTTCTAGAGGTAGAGAGCCAGTTAGTGAATTTGAGGAAAGATCGAGCAACAAGAGATCTGTAAGGTTCCACAAAGTTCTAGGAAGACTAGAATTCAATCTGTTGGAATTTAGGTAAAGATATCTCAGAGAAGTAACATTTTCTAAGCAATCTGGGACTGCTCCTGAAATTTGATTTTGGCCCAGAATTATTGCACCCAACTTTGTGAAAGTACAGAAGTAATCCAGGCTGAGTTGGTTTAGTTTGTTCATGTAAAGAACTATCGCTTGAAGATTTTGCAGACGTTGTATTGTAATGGGCAACGGTCCAGTCAACTGATTACCGTACAGGCTTAAGATAAACAAACTGCTCAAATTTCCAATTCCATCAGGAACTTTTCCCTGGAGATTGCACCTGTATGCATAAAGTCTTTCAAGGGAGCTAGAAAGGTTCCCAACTGATTCCGGAAGAATGCCATTCAGTGGATTGTCATTCACAGCTAATGTTCTCAGATTCTTGGAATTTGCCAAGGAAGAGATGAAGCTAGTCTCTGGATGCGAAAAGTCAGTGACTAACTTATTGCTTCCTAGATCCAGCACTTGGAGGAGTCTTAGGTTACCGAGGGAAATGGAATATGGCCTGTGAAGAAGTTGTCAGACACGGTTACAACAAGAAGTTTAGAAGAATTTGTAATTGACTCGGGTAGGTCTCCAACAATGTAGTTAGAGTTGAGATAAAGTTGTTCTAATTTGGAAGCCCATAAAACACTGTTGATGGAAGATTTCCTGAAAGCTGATTTCCTGCGAGTGACATCAATGTTACCCTGGAGAGGTTGAAGATCTCTACTGGTATGGAACCAGTCAAGTTATTCCACCCTAAGCTGAGTGTTTCCAGATTGTATAAATTGCCGATCTCTCGCGGTATTACGCCTGCCAATAATGTAATAAGCATATGCATGAATGACCCTTGTTCTTCGAATTAGACCGCAAGATCGTCTAGTCAGTAATCTATGTGTAATTAGCTATTGTTGTACCTGTCAGGTGGTTATCAGCTAAGTCCAAGAATTTGAGCATGGTTGAATTTCCAAGCTCTTTTGGAATTTCACCTGCAAAATGTAAAAATTGTAACTTGAAGATCCACGTTACATCTTTGATGGTAGTTGAAAAGGGATATATCTTTATTGAGAGACCAAAATAAAATAAAATAAAATAAAATGGTGTCAATGGTCTGGTCATGAGTTCAAAATTTTAGTTTTATATTAGGGCAAATTACACTTTACCCCTATGGTTTAGTGTTGTTTTGGATAACTCCTATAGTTTCAAAAGCTATGGATAACCTCCTCTTGATTTGAATTAAAGTATCAGAGTAACGGAATTTGCATTCCATAACGGAATCAACTAAAATATCAAAAATACCCCTATATAAAATTAAAATTATTGATTAATCATAGAGGGGTTATGCATATATTTTGAAAATATAAGAGGGTTATATGGTTATAAAGCACTAAACCATAAGGTTATATGATAAAACATAAAATCATATGGGATTAGAGTATCATACATATTATGTTTATATATTTTAATCACTTCACCCATTTTAGTTTTTAAACAAAGGATAATTTCGACATTTTTCTAGATTTCATTACGAATGATTATTTTTGTTATTTTGATATTTTACTCCAAACTATGAGGGCTATAGAGAGATTATGTGAAAATAAGCTACACCACAAGGGTAAAGCGTATTTTGCCCTTCATATTATGGTAATAGATGCAATGCAACCAGTGAAAGCTATAACGACTATGCATGAACAAGACATGGAATCAACCATCTAACTCGACTAGCAACTGAGGTGCAATTAACCATCTAAATTTTGAAGAAGTAGAAGGATGACAAGTCATCTAACTCTACTTGCTCCATAGACCATAAATTAATATCTTACCTACTAATTTGTTCATGGAGAAGTATATCACCTCAAGTTTCTTCAGCTTCCCAATTTCTTTTGGTATGGTTCCACTAAACTTGTTGAACGAAAAGGATACAGCCTGAAGTTCTGAACACTGGACTAAGCTTGATGGTATTGGACCACTCAATTCATTCTTTGATAGGCGAATGACTCTTAGTCTCGGAAGATTGCCACACATATAATTGGAAGACTTCCAGATAAGCGATTACCTCCCAACGAAATCATTTCCAGTGAAGAAATGTTGAAGATCTCTCCCGGAATGTTACCTTCAAGAGAGTTTTTGAAAGGTATAAACTTCTCAGATCTGACATGTTAGAAATGGAAGGCGGCGGATTAGGCCAGTGAAACTGTGTCTGTGTTTCTTAGGGACAAGTATTGAAGTTTGGGAAATGAACTACTCCACTCAGGAATTTCTCCCGGTAAGATCGTTCAAACCCAAATCAAGTACTTTTAATCGGTGCAACCAAGCAAGTTCATTCGGCAATTCTCCATGGAAATTGTTCATACTCATGTTAAGAGAAATGAGAAATGACAGGTTTCCCAACTGTGATGGTAAGATGCCGGTAAGCCCCATGTTCGAAATGTCTAAGGCAGTCACACCTACAATGATGAAAGCCACAGGTAACTCCAATCCAGTCACAAACAGAAGATGAAATGAAACAGACCAGTTTTTGGCCAAGATTTGTAGAGGGTCAACTGAAATGTGAGCTCTCAAGGCAAGAAGAGACGATTGATCAGTTGTGATGTTGTTTGATGCCATGGCTAAGCTATCTGATAGAAAGCATGACAAGAGAAGTCCAACAAGGAAATTGCAGTGAATTCTCCCACCATGACTCTGTGCAATCTAAGAGCAGGGAAGTGAAGGATACTGTCATAGTAGTAACTAGTAATAATGCCATGGCTTCAGCCCATTATTTTATTGAGATTCATTGAACTGTATTATTTGATTGAGATGACAGTTGGCAAATCATGTGTAATTAAATACGTTGTAACGTAGAATTCAAATAATTCAGCAAGAGGGAGTCTGATATTTTTAGGTTTGTGTTATTAGCAATTTTAATCAAAAGGTCAATAATACGACTAATCAAAAATTAACTATTCCATCAACTCTTGCGAGTCGCACTAAATATTTCTCCATCAACTCTGATATATTTTCCCATTTGAGTTTTTCTAATAAGCGTAGATTCAATGAACATTCGTTAACATACATTAATTACACCCACGCTATATGTGAATATACATACTAATAATTATTGTTTTCCTTTACATTTATATACTTTTCCTAATTAAGTGTACATTTTCAAAAATTTAGCACCTGAACTATATTTTAATGAGTGTTAATTAGACAAATCCCTCTTCATTTTCCCCTCTTTTTGCACACTCCTACTTTCCAGCTAAGGGGTTCTGTTCTTGATTTTTTCATCCCAGTAGGTTTTGACAACATTTTCCCCCAAGATTTCTCATAGTATCACTCAACTCCCCTGAGATTTATAAAATCTCATTTACCTCCCTTGGATCAATATTTCTTGTAACATTTTAACCCCTTTGGATGAAATACAAGAAAGATAACACTTTTGTTTCAATACTACCCTTATGTTATCTTGCTTATGAAATTTATAACAACAATGAAAAGTAACATAAGGTTAAATTTATAAGGCGTAAATTTCTTGATGGAAACTATTTATTTTGGTTGTATTGAAACAAAAATAAAATTTACACCTTGAAAAATTAGCACATATGAAGAGAATATTTTAGTTTTCAATACAACTTAAACTACACCATGAATTAAAACATATTTCCCAAAATATATCTTGACTTCCTTAATTGTAACTTAACTATGCAGGGAATTTTTTAAGGTATTAATTACTCACCAAAATCCTCATAAGTGGTTGACCTTGATTAAATTTAATTTATCAACGTCCTTTGCTATTCCACCACAATCCCAATACAAAGAAATATGAACCATTATTAGTTAGCAATTTACTTTTTTAATCTACATTTTTTGGTTTTAAAATTTTATTTTGTTTTGGCTTTGTGGTTAAATAGTTATTAAGAGCAAGGGCAATGTTGTCAATTTGTGACATTTGATAGGAATATTTAGTCTTGTTAAGTTGACAGAGAGGTAAGTGAGATTTTAAAAACTTCCAGAGAATTGAGTGATATTATAACAAACCTCAGAGGAGGTTTCTGAAATTATCCTTTATATATATTAGATGGCGGCTTACTGTTGGAATAGTCATTTCCAAGCTTCAAAGACTTGTTTTGCTGTAAATATTGTCTTACAGTTCGCAGGACCACCTGAAAGTAACACATTTGAAAAAACAAAAATGCACGAGTCAATGTGCTGTATCCACGATTCATTGTTAATGTGCTGTTATGCTAACAATTATCCAACTAGTTAAGTGCCGAGAGCAATAGAATCTAACTAATGTAGAATTGAAGTTATTAGGAAAACTCCCTCGACAATAATGTGGAGTAATACTTTAGTAGCCGATGAGAAGGATATTACAACTATTATATGCTAAACCATCATTTAAACTTGGCCCTATTTGGCAAAGTGAGTTTTTGCCAAGTTTATCTCCTACCAATTTTTTTAATAATTGAACTACAATAATCTTAAAAAAACTTTTCAAAAATTTTAAACTACACACTTTAAAATACCCAAATATATAAAAAATTCCCTTCCTCCTTTCTTCTTCTAACTCAAACCACCATCACTGCTGCCGCTGGCCAAGACTATTCGACGACAACCTCTTCTAGTGCCGGCCACCTCTTTTTTTTTTTTTTTTCTCTTCTCATGTGCCCTCCTCCTTTCTCCCCATCTCCTCCCCTCTCCCCCCGCACCTCTCTCCCCCTTTCCCTCTCCCCGCCACCCTTCCCCTCCCTCTTTGACTGATCTGGTCACGAGACCAGATTGCAGCTAGGGAAAGGGGAGGGCAGTGGGTGAGGGGGAGAGAAGAAGCAAAAAAAAAAAAAAATTGCATATGCTACTGCTTGTTCGGTGGCTGGGACAGAGAGGTGGTGGGGAGGGAGAGGGGGAAGAGGAAGAAAGGAGGAGAGGGAGAGAAGGAGAAGAGCGGGAGAGAAAAAGCAAAATTTGCTTGTTTCGGCGGCTGGGAGGGAAAGGGGAGGGGGAAGAGAAAAGAAGAAGAGAGGAAAGAAAAAGAAAAGAACTTTTACAGTAAAATTTTATGCAAACACTCAAAAAACTCATTTACCAAATGGGACCTTAATTTGAAAGTAACAAAAAGCGATCCTGTTGATTTGGGATGCCTAAACATAAGTCTTTCCTCATTTGCACTTGGTTAGGTATTGGGGGTGCACATGGATCGGATTCTTATCGGCGAGCTTAAATGTTGATCCGATCCGCAAATTACGGATGAAGGATTTTCTTATCTGAATTCATATCTGCACCTTTAGATATTCAGAATTTTTGGATCAGATATGTGGATCAATCCGTATGCGAAATCTTTCTTTATATTCTTTTAACAATATCAACAAAATTCATACAAAGCATCAAAGTGATTGACAAATGAAATTTTCCATTTAAGAAATTAATGATTTCACAACAAATAGAATCTAAGTCAAAATTATAGGCTGTGAGCTGCAAATCAATTGTGTGTGCAAGAAAGCATAAAAACTAAGAATTTTGTGCAACATCCGAAGCCATCTCACATATTTAATCAATAAATACTACATTCCAACTATGTTTTAAAGCAAAGATGTAGGATGGGACGTTTAGTCTCCGAGTTATGCCCCACGAATTTTTATCTTTTAAATATATAAAAATGTGATATATGTCATAAAAAAAATTCTTTGGATTAGAACTATTCTAGTTACTGCTATCTTAAGAAACAAAAGAGTGTTCTTTCTGAAATCACTTGTCATAGAAGCTCTAAACCAAACAACAATTATTAAAAGAAGATGCCCTGTACCAACTGCTCTGCCCATACACCATCGGGATCATACATGTAACTAATTAAACCATGTCGCTGGTATCAACTACCTTAACAGAACTGTTCTATTGAGTCTCCATATTTGAAAGTTCTTCCTATAAGTCTTCATCTTTCATTGTCAACCCAACTTAGTCAAAGATGTTTTTAAGTAGATCGAGGTTACTTAAAAAGATAATCGTAGTTTGCGCAAGGAAAATAGGGAAGTTATAGATTCGGATTATTTGTTGGTCAAACGTCAATAATATACACAAAGATCTATTCCTACTCCTACATAATAGAGAAGGGGACAAATCTAACTAGATTATAGATAACGTCATTGGGAGTTCACATCAACTTTTTTAATCCGTTAACTTTTGTTTTGATTTTTTTTAACGGGTGTCTAATGACACACGTTAACTCATTTAAATTTCATCCAATCTAATTATATATACACATACTAATAATTATTATTTTTTCTTGTATTTATATAATTTTTTAAGGAAAAAATCATCCAAAACGTCCTTTACATTTTATAAAATGAATTTTTTTGTCCTTCACTTTTAAAATAGTAACTTTACACCCCATTAACTCAGTAAACTTTGGTCTCAATCTAAGTTTTCGACCACTTTTTATTATGAATCCATTACATAACCCATAAATGTTGTTTTTTCAGAGACAAAAGATTAGATCTCATTTGTAATTAAATAAATGATCCGATTTATATTTATTTTTGCCCTCAAAAAGTGGAATATGACTCGAACCATATTCATTTTTCTTCAAAAAGCAGGATTTGACCTAATTCATATTCATTTTTGCTATTAAAGAGTTAGATTTGACTTTTTTGTACATAAAAATTATTGCACGTGAATCATATGCTGAATTCATGCTAAAAAGTCATCGAAAACTTAGGTTGAAACCAAATTTTGCGAATGTAATCCAAAAATCAATATAATATGAAAATTATAGGCTGCAAATCAATGTAATCTGCCGTCCAAAGGTCACGGGTACATGTATACAAGAATAGTTGAAGTCAGTATCTTTTCCAAGAAGTGCAAATTTTTCAATCAATTTTTCTATTTGACAATTTGAATCATCCTATGGCCGAAAGAAACAACTAAATGCTCTGTAAGACAGAAAACAGTACGAAAAATAACTTTCCTTGATATGCAAAAAGCTTGCCACCAAGAAATTCCATTTACTGTCATATATTCTATGTCATGTGAAATAGACACACTTAAGCATG